CATAGCTACTGAAGGTGAATCCAGAGGCTGCACAGGAGAGTCTCAGAGACCCCCCAGGCTTCACCACGGCTCCCCCAGACTCCACCAGCTGCACCTCACCCTGGACACCTGCAAACACAAAGACATCCTGGTCAGGAAACTCTCACACGTCCACTGTTTCTCTCACTCATGTCCACTCACACACTCAGTGTCTCTTGTTCTCCATAAATTACCTCTTAAAATAGCAACAAGGAAAATCCAGCTGAGCCCAAGCCCCATGGTGAGTGGTCTGTGTTCAGTCCTGATCAGGGAATGAGAACAGCTGGGGATCCCGGGGCTGGGCTCCTGTCCCAGAGCTGCAGGGTCAGGGCTGGGCTGGTTTTTATGAGCAGAGGGGGCCCTATTTGCATGTCCTCCTACTATATAGAGAGCTCAGAGGTGAACCTACAGATATGTCAGTAACTCAGTGAAGGTGAGAGGTTCCTTGTGCTTTTGGTTGCCATGGTAGCTTTTCACCCATTTAATACAGAATTATAGGTAGCTTGGGGTTTGTTGATGAGACCACATCTGGTAACAGTGACCCAGCCTTAAGGCTCTGATCCTCCCACTGGCTCCCATTGTTTCCCTGAAACATCTCCTGGACAGAGCTGCACCTCCCCCGTGAGGCTGCAGAACCCCTTGTATGTAAATACAGCCTCAATGAACCCCTGTATTCCAGTGTTACCCACACTTCAGGGTTGTATCCAGTTGTGGCCCCAGAGTCCTCACTGCCATGGAGAAGGTTGTGTATCACCTGTGAGGTGGTCCTAGGTCCACTAAGGTGAGTCAGGTTCACTGAGATCTGGGAGGTACAACTGAAGTCTCTGTTGGGCCCAGAAGACTATCAAGTGACACAAAAAATCTGAGGGATGAGAGAAATATAAGTGACCCGGGATGACGGGACCCATGTTCTTGATACCATTGTGCACCTCCTGTCCCTCAACAATCCCCAAGTTCACTGGCCTTAGAAGCCCTCCCCTGGGATCTCATGTCAGGAATCAGACAACATCCTATTTGGGAGTAGTTATAACAGACACTAGCCAGTAACAATAGCACTCCCATGAGTTACAGGGTCCATGCTGGTCAGGAGTGGCCTCTCCCTCTCCTTGGGGGGCAGGGCCTGAATTTGGTGGCTTCCCTTTCAATGGCTGGAGGGGAGCCCATGGTGGGGCCATGGTGACAGCTGGGTGCCCTTTCAGATCCCCATCAGCTCAGGTCCTAGAGGGATGGCGTGGGTCAGCCCCTAGGGCCCAAGTTTTGGAAGATGTGATATGAACAGAGATGGCACTGGACACATCAGAGCAGCATTGGATGGACGACTTAACGTCACTGAGCTCTGACCTTGCCACCTGTGACTGGGCAGAGCAGCCTTCCTTCCTTGGGGCTGCAGGCTCACTCTGAAAATTAATACATTAAATTGGACTTTACAAAGTTAAGTACTTGAGAGTAAGCCAGTATGTTTAATTGGATTAGGCTCCTACAATATTTAACCTGAAATATAATCCAATAGAAATGATCACAGAAAAGGGCGTGATAGAGACGCACAGGGGAGGTTCCTGAGAGAGGTACTGGAGGGAATTACGTCCAAAGGTTGCACGTGGTCAGTGGGGACAAGGCTGTCAGGAGGCTGTTCAGAGGGAGACAGAGCAGAGGGGGAACCATCTCAGGTGACCTGAGATTTGGTCTCTGATGTGACCTGGAGTCGGACTAACCATGTTCGTCTGAGACGATTTACTGAGACCCAGAGTCACCCTCTCAGGTGGGAGAACTGGACTCTGCTCATCTGAAACACACCCTCCCTGCTTCCTCCAGCTTGTGAAGTGCCCTCTGAGCCGATGACATTTCCGTCTGTTAATGTTTCCACGGAAGTGTTTCCAACGTGGAGTCTCCTGTCCATCCTTCTGTGGGTCTCTCCCGAAATGTTGGGCTCACAGATGTTCGCTGTATCTCTAGGCTGTGGTCACTGTGGACATTGTTCACTTTGAACTGACCAGTCCATGCAGGGTGCCCGAGAACTGTGGTCTCCTTCAGCCACCCATGGGGCTGTCCATCATGGTGATGTGCAGCTGGAGGGGACACCCTGGCTATGGTGACAGAAGCTGTGTGACTTATAAGAGGGACCCTTTGGTCAGAAGCCCGCTGGACTCTGACAAGAACCATCTTGACCTGCAGCAGGGCCCACGAGACCCCAAATCACAGCTGATAACCTAACAACCCTGAGGAGGAGATTAAAGACAGGCCACAGACTCAGGGACTATAATTCCCAGGAATGTGCCCTGACTCTAAGTCGAACGCACAACCCTTGATTGTAGAGGTCGAAGATACAACTTTTGGAGCCAGTGGGCCAGGATAACTATCATGTATTTTTTGTGAACATAAAGATTCCTTCTTCTGGAGGAAACACTGCTGGTGGGACGGCTGAGGGGCATGTGAAGAACAGGTGGAATTTCTAAGAAGCTGCGACTCGGGATGTGAGCAGAGAGAACAGGACCTGCAGGGCCTGGTGCAGGAGGGTCCCAGTCACGGCGGATGTGTCCCCTGAAACAGCAAGGTCACCTGCTCGCCTATCGTCTGCAGGGAGAACGTGAGGAATCAGAGCCCCAGGGGAACAGCAGGACCCGGCCCTGGGTGCAGCTGAGGGACCTGAGGGGAAATCCCTGCTCCCTACAGGCAGCCCCACCGCCCTCCCTCTGGCCCTGCTCCCGGGCTGTTCTCTGGTCAGTGTGTCCTGAGGGCCCTGGTGGCCGCAGCCCCTCCTGCCGGGAGGTTTGTGTCTGGCTCACACTGACCACCCCTCACTGTGACCCTTGCACAGTAATACATGGCCGAGTCCTCAGATTTCAGGTTGGTCATTTTAAGAGAGACTGTGCCTGTAGGGCTGTCCCTGGAGATTGTGAATCTTCCTTGGACTGATGGTGCGAACCACTGGGTTGTTCCACTGGGTTGACTCACTCCTGCCACCCACTCCAGCCCCTTCCCTGGAGCCTGGCGGACCCAGTTCATGCTGTAGTTTATGAAGGTGAATCCAGAGGCTTTGCAGGAGAGGCTCAGAGACCCCCCGGGCTGCACCAAGCCTCCCCCAGACTCCGCCAGCTGAACCTGGCACAGGCCACCTGCAAACACAGAGACACAGACTGAGAACTGCCCGTGTGGCCCAGTCCCCCTGAGCCTCCTGCACAGGGACCCACCTTGGATGAGAAGGGCAGCCCAGCTGAGTGCAGACCCCATGGTGTGGACAGGGAGGAGGGGCTCACAGGTGAGGGTTCCTGTCCAGGACCTGCAGGGACAGGAGCTGG